TAAATAAATTAAATAGAATGTATTATATGGTCCCTTAGAAGAGATATGTAATTTTATGTCTATATTTGCATTTAAAAAGTTGTTACTGCTGGGTGGTGAAGTGTACTTCTTTTGTTGTTTATTTACGGTTGGTCTACAGTGAGCCTGTATTACCTGGATGGAATGATAAATGAATAGATAGTTGGATGACAAGGTAGATAGACTGACAGACACACAGATAGATGTAGAATATATTAAAATTTAAGGATTCAGTGTTTCAGGAAAAGAAGTAAGATTTTTAGCACATTTGACATTTGAAAACCTCTATACACTTTAGGAATATCTAATCATCTGTAACATACCTGCAGAGTTCAGAAAAAAATCTATATATCTGTATCTATATCGGTATTTATCTATACATTTATAGATATATTTTATCATATACCATCTGCCCATACATATAAAAGTATATAAATGTATATGTAGAGGATGATACACTATATATACATTTACAGATGGACAATGAAAGTATATATATAATAGAATAAATGTAGTAAGTGGTAATAATCAGGGAATCTGGGTAAAGGGTACATAGATGTTCCTTGTGCTATTTGTTCAACTTCTCAAAGTTTGAATTATCTCAAAATAAAAAGTTTATAAATCTAATAGATATTTTATGCAGCTGTTTTTTGTTTTTTTGAGATAGAGTTTTACTCTGTCACTCAGACTGGAGTGCATTGGCACGATCTTGGCTCAATGCAACCTCTGCCTCCTGGGTTCAAGCGATTCTCCTGTCTCAGCCTCCTGAGTAGCTGGGATTACAGGCGCCTGCCACCACACCTGGCTAATTTTTGTATTTTTAGTAGAAACAGGTTTTCGTTACATTGGCCAGGCTGGTCTTGAACTCCTGACCTCAAGCGATCCACCCACCTCGGCCTCCCAAAGTGGTGGGATTACAGGCAAGAGCCACTGTGTCCAGCTATTTTATATTTTACCTATTTTTGTTACAAGACACTAATTTTAAGAGACCCTCTTCCACCATTTGCTCTCCTTCTTGACATCTGAAACAAGAACCCCACAACCAGTTTGTGAATTTGGCCTTTACAGTGCTTGTCGTAGAGTAACTTGGGATTTATTGAATTATGTCTTTCCCAGAGCATAGAAACATATATAGGAAGCCTCCCACTTTGTTTGACTATGCCAGCACAATCTTAGTAACAGAGTTTGACAAACCTAGTACACAAAACAATCACAAACCAATATGAATCATAAATATAGACACAAATGTGTGAAACAAATTGCTAGCTTCTTCAATTCTGGTAATGTCTTAAAAAATACAAACCATTAATAGGCAGGATTTATTTCAAAATTATAAGTTTAGTTCAGCAGGGGTAAATCAAGATAAGGTAAAAGAGAGACTCTATCTGAGTCTCTTGATAAATGGCAAAGAGGCATTTTTCTTGGGCAGCACCTTTTTGCAAACTAGGAACAACAGAACACAAAAAAGAATAGCTATCTAAAACAAACAAACAAAAAGTGTATGTTTTCAGGGGAAATACTGGAGGCATTACCACCCAAGCAAGGAATAAGAAACTTACACCCATTATCATTGCTATTATTCAACACTGTTCTGGTATTTTTGTTTTTTGAGATGAAGTCTCACTCCGTCACCCAGACTGGAGTGCAGTGGTGTGATCTCAGCTCACTGCAACCCCTGCGTGCTGGGTTCAAGCAATTCTCCTGCCTCAGCCTCCTGAGTAGCTGGGATAACAGGCGTGAACCACCATGCGTGGCTAATTTTTTTATATTTTTAGTAGAGACGAGGTTTTACCATGTTGGCCAGGCTGGTCTCAAACTCCTGACCTGAAGGTGATCCACCTGCCTTGTGTAATCCCAAAGTGCTGGGATGACAGGCATTAGCCACCACGCTCAGCCTGTTCTAGTATTTCTTACCTTTATTATTAACTATCTAAGAAATCCAAAGAAGCTACCAAGGAGCTATCAACTAATTAGACAGTTCCAATTGAATCCAATACATACATTCAAAGTTTTACTTTATACTAGGCATCAGTTTATGGCAAACTGTTTATAAAAGTCAAACAGTAAATATTTTAGGGTTTTTGGGCCATCCAGTTTCCATGGCAACTATTCGGTTGTGCCACTGGAGGGCAAAAGCAGCCATTGATAATGCATAAGTGAATGGATGTGGCTGTGTTCCAATAAAACTTCCAGGCAGTGGACTGGATTTTGTCTACTGGCCATGGTTTGCTGACTTCTACTTTATACCACAGAAAGCAGTTGATGGGAAAAAGTTATCCTTTAAAACATCAAAAAAAAAAAAAGAAAGAAAGAAATATAAAGACCCAGAAACAAACTTTTTTTTTTTTTTTTTTTTTTTGAGACAGAGTTCAGAGTTTCACTCTTGTTGCCCAGGCTGCAGCGCAATGGCGCGATCTCGGCTCACTGCAATCTCTACCTCCCAGTTCAAGCGATTCGCCTGCCTCAGCCTTCTGAGTAGCTGGGATTACAGGCACCACCATGCCCGGCTAATTTTTTAATTTTTAGTAGAGCCTAGGTTTTGATATGTTAGCCATGGCTGGTCTTGAACTCCTGACCTCAGGTGATCCACCTGCCTCAGCCTCCCAAAGTGCTGGGATTACAGGCATGAGCCACCGTGCCCAGCTGAAAGAAACTTTCTAAAAGGCAATTTGGCTATATGCATCAAAAAAGAAATCTAGAGTACTCTTTCAACCCAGTAATTCCATTTCTGGGAATTTATCCTAAGGATACATTTAGATCATTTAGATAAGGACATAAAGATGTATACACAAGGATGTTTATTACAGTGTTATTTATAATAAGAAAAGTTGGCCAGGTGCAGTGGCTCACGCCTGTAATCCCAGCACTTTGGGAGGCTGAGGCAGGCCAATCACTTGAGGTCAGGAGTTCGAGACTAGCCTGACCAACATGGTGAAACCCCATCTCTACTAAAAATACAAAAATTAGCCAGGCATGGTGGCAAGTGCCTGTAATCCCAGCTACTCAGAAGGCTGAGGCAGGAGAATCGCTTGTTTGAATCCAGGAGGCTGAGGTTGCAGTGAGCCGAGATAGTGCCATTGCACTCCAGCCTGGGTGACAAGAGCAAGCAAGCAAGAAAGCAAGAAAGAAAAGGTATCTACTGACATAATCTATGTCTATGAGGAATGCATAGTTTCTGAAAATAAGTTAGAGTAGTACGCATAATATCAGCTAATTTTTAAAATATATAGGTGTGCATATGAAGTTATGCATATGGACCCACATGTGCAACAAAACCTGGGAAGAAATATCCCCAACTGCTTTATTAGCAGTTATTTCTTATGATGGATTTATGAGCGACCTTTCTTTTAATTTTTGCTCTCTTTTTATTTCTTCAATGGAGCTGGGAAATAAAATTTTTGATTTTTAAAAGGAAGCTAGTAAATACAAAAACCCTGTGCTAAACAATTCACTCGCATTTCTATTGATTTTGAAGGAGCCTATAGACAGTACCCTCCTCAAACAAAGCATATTGATATACTGATTTTAACTTTTATGTTAATATTCCAGACACCCCTGAAAAGTTATTTAAGTTATCGTTAACCACTTCATGTCCTGAAGATAGAAATCTTTGGGTTATAACTAATGCAAAAGGAGCGTATGTCTGGAAATCTTGTAGTTTTCTTATCCTTCAGTAATGTTTCTGCACGCATGACTGTGCGTGTGTGTGTGTGCGCACATGTGTGTGTACACATCTGTCTATTGAGTAAGAAAAGCAAGATAAGGTAAATAGGAAATGGACAAGAATGGTAAATCAAAGACCAACATGAATGAATGTCCTACAGGGAAATAAGTATTAGTAAACTCACTCCTCAGGTCTTATTTATGATTTTATAGTATGAGAATCTTCCTTTGGGTTTAGGAGAAAACCCTGACATCCTTGTAAATTCTCATTTATAATTTACCAAGACTGAATTTGGGTCTCCTAATAGAAAATATTAAATCCATGTGATTTATATCTAGTTGTGACATTTAAGCACATTTTTCCTCATAATTGACAATAGGTATCTAATTATTTATTTTGCCAAGAGTTTTACTTATTGTAAAATGATATATATTTAATTTTCAAGTATTTAAAATCTTGGGGAAATGTAAATGGGAAGGGAAAATGATTTTTATAACTTCTCAGGAGTTCTTTGTAGGTGTTACTGAATGCAAGTTACATGGTGTAACTCACAGTTGTCAAAAAGAGCCAAAAAAAACCCACTATTTTTGCCTTCTCAAAACAATTACCTTATCTGGCTTTGAAATCTTCCTACTTCCCTCCTGAAGTGGCCTTCTCCAATAGCTTAGCATAAAAATTAGATCCAATGCTAACAGAATATCCTCCAATAATAGACACTTCCAACTTTGGCGGGGGGCGGGGGGATTTCTTTGAGCACATATGTATGTTTGTGTGCATGCACGTGTGAGTATGTGTGTGTGAGCTTGTCATTGCTAGAGTGGCCATGGGAGAAAAGTCAATCTCCCTAGAGCCAACTTAGAAGTTAACAGGAACAATATGACAACCACAAGGTCATCCAGAGTTCTCAAAAGTGATGTCAAAAGATGATGAGGTGTTAAGTACATTTTGTAAGCCATGAAAATCCAGGACACAATCAGCAAGAAATGAAGTTTGCTCTGAATACGACAGACAAATGAGTATATTGATACAATTTTCATTAACTATTCCTTTGCTTGCAATCTCAATCAAATGCTCTTTATCCTTCAGCAGAATTTACTATTACCAAACATGAACATAACAACCTACATTAGTCTTATGTTGAGATCTGGGAGATCAAAATTCTGCAAACTTTCCTTTCAACCTTTCATTTAAAAAATTCTTGGAAATGAATTTAGCATAGTTAAAAAGTGAGAAGTCATGCTTCAAATCCCAAACTATATTTTTCCTGTCAAATATTGCTCTCTGTAAAGTGTATCACCAAACCCCAGTAGAAACTTACCCTTCAACTTGAGGTCAACATTATGTCTCAGCCAAGGATAAACCCCATAGCTTGGCATATCTTCGGGAATTGGATTATCGCTTATCCAGCCATCACAAGCGAACCGGAAGAAATTATCACAAGGATCCACAGACAGATTTACTTTACTTAAGATAGCAGCAGCTATTTAGAAAGAAAATCATAGGATTAATGATAAGCACTGAATGTTGTGTACTGTTCTTTTCCAAATTAAACAACGATTTCATATCAACCAGTTTCCAAGCCTTGGCATTTATATTTCCCCTTAAAAAAACTCTCTGAATCTACCTCACTATATGAAATGACTACATTCAAAGTGAATGGACAGGCTGGGCGCAGTGGCTCACGTCTGTAATCCCAGCACTTTGGGAGGCCGAGACAGGTGGACCACCCGACATCGGGAGTTTGAGATCAGTCTGGCCAACATGGTGAAATCCCATCTCTACTAAAAATACAAAAATTAGCCAGATATGGTGGTGCATGCCTGTAATCCCAGCTACTCGGAGGCTGAGGCAGGAGAATTGCTTAAACTCAGGAGGCAGAGTTTGCAGTGAGCCAAGATCGCACCACTGCAGTCCAGCCCGGGGTGACAAAGTGAAACGGTCTCTCAAAAAAAAAAAAAAAAAAAAAAAAAGTGAATGGATAAAAGTTTGGTGGTATTATCACTACTGGCTTTTGCAGGATCATCCCTAACATCTGTGGGGTATGGGACAGGAATACAAATAGAGTGTGTGGTCAATTATTTGCAAAGATAACTGTGACTCTTTCTTCTATCCTGCTTGTCCTTCTGCAAAGTGACCTTGCTGCTCTTCCCATCAAGTGGTAGAGTCTATTTCCCCTGCCTTGAATTTGGACTGACCTTGTCACTTGCTTTGACCAACAGAATTGGCAGAAGTAACTTTCTGTGAGTTTCAAAGCTAAGCCTTAAGAGGCCTTGCACCTTCCATATTAACTCCCTTTGAATGGAGCCCTTTAGCTGCCCTTTGAAGCAGCCTCCTGGAGGACAAGAGGCTACATAGAGAAGAACCAAGCCAGCACAACTGCCAGACGTTGACTGAGGCCATGATTCACCTTCCAGTCCAGGCGCCCCTCTAGCTGAATGCAGCTGCACAAATGAGCCTAGGCAAAAATCAGCAGAGAAACCATCCACCAAACACACAAAATCATGAGAAATAGCAAAGAATTTTTGTTCCAGGCCTCTATAGTTTGGGTGGTTTGCCTCACAGTGAAGGCTAATGGAAACGGAAGTCCATATGTCATCTAGCTAAAGATTTAAAAATTATATTTACAATATACTTTCAAATTCTTGAGCTCCTTGATATTCAGTGTAGCTCTCAGAGAAATAAAGCCCCAGAAGAGACCCACACAGATCCTGGAAGGGAGCTTGGGGCCATCGGGCGGGGAATTCTGGGGTGCAGAAGGAAAGGGCTGCCTACTTGGCTCCACAGACGCCTTGATTGGAGGAGAGGCATGGCCAGAGGAGGGCCAAAGTAGGGTGTTCTAAATGAGGGACCCAGGTCTAGCGGTAGAACTGAGTATGTGTATAAGTTAACAGAAAGACACAATAGACTGATCTACCTTTTCTTTTTTTCCTCTTTCATAAGCCCATACACAATTACATATAGAAGACAGCCCATAGGTAGGAGATGTGTGCATAAATACGTAACCATGAGCTTTAAAAGAAAACCCTTCATTACAAAATGAGAAGTTTCCAAAATTCCCAATATTGAACTCCAACGCCCTTCCAACTGCCATACAATTGCTGGCTACCACTCTAGCACAAAGATATGTACCAGCTGACTTTTTAAAAACTAGCCAATATTTTAATGACATTGGAAAGATGACATTCTGAGCAATTTTCATACTTTAAATAATGCCAGAATATATTTTGTTTGAAGTAATGAAAGCCCAATGAGATTTCAGCTAAATATGAATGAACTGCCCCAAAAAAGTACAATCTGTGTAAATTTTGATACATATCTTACAGTTTGGTTACATGTGTGTTTCCTTCAGGTTTAAAAATAAGGCTAGATATTTCTCCAGCCTAGTTTTCTACAAAAATTTCAAACAGCCTTTTGTCTTCAATGAAGTGAATAATATAAAAACATTCTAATTTCTATAGGCCCTCAAAATCCCCACCATTTTCAAACCTCCCCCAACAACACAAAAGAAAAACAAAACAAAACAAAAAAAAAACTAGCCAAAAATTGGTTTAGAGGCCAAACACTGTGGCTCATGCCAGTAATCCCAGCATTTTGGGAGTCTGAGGTGGGCATATCGCTTGAGCCCAGGAGTTGGAGACCAACCTGGGCAACATGGCAAAACTCCGTCTCTACAAAAAAAAAAAAAAAAAAAAAGACTCGGAAGTTTGATAAATTTCAAATTGGCTTAACATTTTCATGCTTCAGAACCAGCATCAGTTGTCTTTAATTACATTTTCACTTACTGCTACTATTTTATCATTAATATTTAATGTGCAAATGTGCTAGGACATAACAAAATCTTTCTTTTGGTTGGTATTTATACATATATATTTATATATACAGTTACTGTATGCAGCCACAGAATGAATCTGCTATGTGACACCTCAGAGACATGGATCACACGTCTCAGTCCCACACAACATTTACAGTTACACAGAGGAGCCCTCACACGCATTTTTATCCACATACGTACACTGTTTTCCGGCCTCCTTCTCAAATTTTCCCTGCCCCCAACCCTCAAATGTATCCTCTCCATCTCGCCAGTATTCTTGCAGGTACCTAGAAAAACTGCAAGGTCAGCTCTGACCTTGGCCCTGATACAAAAGTTGGGGAATACATCACTCACATTGAATTTGGAAAGAAGCCTGCTGAGTGAGAAAACTCTAGCTTCAGCCTCCCAATCCATCATTCACAACTCACAGCGGGGCACAGGGCTGCACTTTCTGCAGGGGAACTGTGACTTCAAATTGCAAGGGACCATAGTTGTCAAGACACCGAAACGCATTTCCCCCTACTCAGCTCCGTGGAGAAAACCCAGCGTCTTGTTTTAATAAAAGAAATATGATGATGAAGGAAATCTGTGAAAGCTCAGGCTGCGTACTCTTCCAAGTCATTGTATATAAGGTTAATTGTCACACAGTCTCCAGCTGGTGTTTATGTGGTAGAGGTGGAGGCATCCTAAATACCAGCCTCTGTCTTTAGATTTAATCAAGGATGAAGGGAGAGAGTAGTAATAATAATAATTAACAATAATAAAATCACCAATATTGAGTATTTCCTTTTTGCCAGGAACTACGCTAAGCCCTTTTTAAGCAATATGATACCATGGCAAACTCTAGAGCCAGACCACTTGTGTTTGAATGACAGAAACACTATGCAGCAGCTAAGACACCTTAAGCAGGTGATTTAACCTGCGTCTTAGTTTCCTCACCTGAAAATGGGGATAATAATAGCACCCCATAGAATCATGATGCAAATTAAATATATGTAAAGTGCTTAGAATAGTGTTGGGCACATTACCGTATAAATGCAGGATGCCCGGTAAAGTTTGAATTTCTGATAAACAACCACTTTTTAGAATAAGTGTGTACCAAATATTCCATGGGACATACACCAAAAAAAGTAGTCATTGTATATCTGCAGTTCAGATTTCACTGAGCATCCTGTATGTATGTATGTATTCAGCTAAATCTGGGAACTATAATTCTACAATCACTTATCTGAAACTCTTGAGGCTAGATATGTTTCAGAGCTCATAGATTTTTCAGATTTTAGAAAAAAAATACATTGCATATAACCACCGATCATGTAATACTTCAGCAATGGCTGGAGTGGCAGGCCTGAAGCAAGTGCATTAATATTTCCATAGGGAAACATATGCATATTCTTATAAGTAGGATAAATGAAATCTGAAGCAGCCTCACATGAGTTAAGATCCAATTTTGCCATCACAGGAATTGAGATCAGGCCCCCATCTTGCCAACTGAGGGTTACAATGTTTTCTGGGTTTGGGGTTCAGAATTAGCATTGTGAACCTAGATTACTGCTACTACCATTATTATTTTCTTTTTCTTTTTTTAATTTTTTCGGGTTTTTTGAGACGGAGTCTCACTATGTTGCCCAGGCTGAACTGCAGCCTCCCCCTTAGGGCTGAAGTGCAGATTCAACCTGCAATCTCAGCTCACTGCAACCTCCACCTCCCAGGTTCAAGTGATTCTCCTGCCTCGGCCTCCCAGATAGCTGGGGTTACATGCGTGTGCCACCACGCCTGGCTAATTTTTGTATTTTTAGTAGACAAGGGGTTTCACCATGTTGGCCATACTGGTCTTGAACTCCTGGCCTGAAGTCATCTGTCTGCCTCAGCATCCCAAAGTGCTGGGGTGGCAGGCGGGAGCCACCGGGCCCAGTCTATTATTATTTTCTTTTATTCTCACAACTAGTATAAGTAAAAACTGTTATTCCCATTTTACACGTGGTGAGACTGAGGCTTAGGGTGGCTATATATTTAGCCCAGGATCATGTGGCTTGTAAATAGCTAGATCATGCTTCACACCCAGTCACTCTGTCTGCCCTTATCTGCGATCATGAGCATGCATGCCCTTTCCTTGTTTCTTTGCATTCTTCGTACAGCTCTTGTTTTGAAAGAGGGATTAAAATAAGAGGACACAGAGAAGAGGAGAGTTAAGGAGAGGAGGCATCTCAGAAATGGTTGGCACCTGCTCAGAAATGGTCCAGAAGGCGATCAAACACTCTAGTCTTCTGAACTTTCAGCACGCACGCCCACGCACGCACAGCCTCTTGTTTAAGGCTCTGGCTTGGCCGCAATTCTCCTGTCATGTGTACTCAACAGCTGTTCTGCAGACCCCTGGGCACACTGAGGCTCATGCTACACTAAAGAGAACTGTGTCTTTGGTGAGCCTTTCACTACAGAAACAGCAAAATCAGTATATATTTTTTCAACATTAGAAAGCCATTTGCCAACGTGAAAATTAAAAACAGGACAGCAAGGCAAAACACACTAGCTGGCAGGAGGCTGTAAGTTTTACACTTGCATTATTATGATGTATAATACAGAACGAAAACTCACAAAATAAGTGGCCTTCCATACAAAAAATGTGTTCTAAACTCAAGTTGAAAATTTATGAGCTCAAAAATTCCCATTTCACACATCTGCAAGAACCCTACCACAGCCAAAGCACCGGGTGACATAAACTCTAAAACCTGTCCTGATAGTTCCGCCTGCTCTCTCACCCTACTCCATGACATCCTCTCGCCACTGGAGAAAACCCCAGGTCAATTACTCAAGCCTGGAGCAGGAAAGGGCCTGGGAGTTCCCAGATGGTTCCAGGGCCAAAAAGAGTTGCCTGGCATGGCCCCATATCACCAAGGAAAAGATGGAAAGGAGCCAGACATGGACACGAAGTCCAGTTCTGCTACTAACTCAGGATGAGACCCTGGGCAGTTATTTAGCCTCCAGAAGCCTCCATTTCCTCATCTGGAAGTGAGGATGGTGATAGCACCAACTTCAACGGGGATCTTTTGAAGGTTTTATGAGATGGTGCCTGTAAGTCACTCAACACACAGCCTGGTTAAAACAGATATATTGATCATTTAAGAATGGAACAAAAAAAAGAACTCTACTAACACAATTATCTAAGCCACTACCTTTGTATAAGGTCTCAGAGTTTACAAACTCTTTCACCTAAGTGTTTCCCATCTCAACAAACACCACTGCCCAACCATCACCAAAAATCTAAGCATCACCCACAACTGTCTGCTTTTGTTCACAGCCCAAATCGAATCCTTCAATAGGCCCTCTACCTCCTAATCCTTCCCCCATTCTCCCTCTCCATCTCTTGAATTCAAGGCAGCATTGCCTCTCACCTGGCGTACGGAAATAAACCTACCTGAGTCACCTTCTTCTATTCTTGTTCCCTATGGTCTCTTCTCCATCAGGAAAGACTCCCGCTAATGGAGCCCTCCACCGAGACATCTTTTGAAATGCTCAGAAGATGTACTCTCTTTCATAAAAGCCTCCAGAGGCTTTTGAGTGTACTTAAGGAAAGCCCAAACTCCCTGGCACTTGGGCCCCCCCATTGACTCCTCATCGCTTGCACCTCACCTAGCAAAAGCTCCTCCCGTTCCTCAAGTCCACGCTTCTATCCACCCTTTGCCCCATCTGTTCCCCCCACCTGGAAAGCCCTTGCCTCAGTCTTCACACAGCATTTCCCTCCTCAGCATTCAAAGGTCACCTTCAAGGTCATGTCCTCAGGCTTTTCAATCTAGCCATCCTGTCACTTGTTATCACATTGTTCTAGGTGTTAAATTTTCTCTGTGACGTGTTCCACTGACTGATATTTCTCTTTCTTTCTTTCTTTTAGAGACGGGGTCTCACTAATTTGCCCAGGCTGGCCTCCAACTCCAGGGCTCAAGCCTCAGCCTCCCAAGTGGCTGGAATTAAAGGCGTGTATCACCATGCCCAGTTTCATAATTTTCTTCTTGTATTAATTGCCGTATTGTCTTTCTTCCCATACCTGGTTCACTGCTCTATTTCCAAAACCTAACTCAGTACCTGATCTGCAACAAATATTTGGTGAATTTGTTCATTAACCTCTTAAGGCCAAGAGGAAAGTGAAAGGGCCACATGCTTAACTTGTTTGATGACTTTCCTTTTGAAAAAAGTGTCCCTGCCCACTTAAAGAATGAGGGTGAGGGCTGGAATCTGGCTCCCTCAAATCTAGGCCCTAACACTGATTTAGGAGGGAAATCTAATAGCTGTGTGTGGGACCCCCAGGTAACCCTCCTCCTCCCGCCCCACCGCTTTCGGTGTGCTAACCAAAAATGGCAGAATACCCTGATCACTCTGTGACCCAGCCAGCAGCCGGTTTGTTTTGTTTTGTCTTTGAGATAGACGTTCCCTCTGTCACCCAGGCTGAAGTGCAATGGTACGATCTCAGCTCACTGCAGCCTCCGCCTCCTGGGCTCAAACAATTCTCATGCCTCAGCCTCCCAAGTAGCTGAGATTACAGGCATGAGCCACCATGCCCGGCTAATTCCAGCTGCAGGTTTTTCCCAGCAGGCTTAGGCCCAAACTGGACCCTTGGACATTCCCAGGCACTGATAAAGGTATCGAGGTTGATACACAAAACACTGAAAGAAACCAGTACTGGCTCTGAGCCAAATTCCTTAAACCGTCATATAGTCTCCACACCCTAATACCCTAAGTAGAACACCCCTTTTCTCTCACTGTCTTGAGGATACACTGCAGCACTTTCAACATAAGCTGCACTAATAAATGCTTTGGACTGACCGGCTGCCCTGGCATTTATTGAGTGCTTCTTTCTTTGGAATCCCAACTGGCCCCATCTCGGGATGGGGTACTCCCTCATGGGAACTTCCCTGTCGCTGCTTTTGGGGCGACTCCAGACATGAGTTCGATGGGATAAGACACTGTGGCAAAACTGCGGCAACTTTAAGTGTCATCTTCACCTTGGGATACCCACTGATACACAGCCTGGTCACCTCAAGAGAAGTTTGACTTGCAACGTGTGACACAAAAAAGGATCCCAGCCAGGCACAGTGGCTCTCACCTGTAATTCTAGCACTTTGGGAGGCCAAGGCGGGTGGATCACTTGAGGTCAGGAGTTCGAGACCAGCATGGCCAACATGGTGAAACTCCATCTCTACTACAAATACAAAAATTAGCCGGGCGTGGTGGTGGGCACCTGTAATCTCAGCTACTAGGGAGGCTGAGGCAGGAGAATCACTTGAGCCCAGGAAGTGGAGGATGCAGTGAGCTGAGGTCGCGCTAGCCTGGGCGACAGAGCAAGACTCCGTCTCAGTTTAAAAAAAAGAAAAAAAGGATTCCCACTGGCAATGGAAGCATGGATTTATTTACAAAGGAGCCTTGCTTGGAGGCAGGCAAGTCAGACCCACAGACCAGAAAATATGCAACTGCTTAAGCTAAAAAGGAATCTATAGCCAGCGGAGCCATAGGAAGACCAATGTTCTCTGCCTGTGGGTCTTAAGAGAGGCCATTTAGCCTTCCAAGCCCCTTTCCTGATTCCCTTGCAACAACGCTTAGAACACCACAGCTGTTTTTTGCAAGGAAAAAGAAAACAGGAAACGTAAGATCCACTATTTCGCACCAAAACTTGAAAATAAACTTAAAATTTCTTCAAAATTGCATTTCGTACTTGGTAAACCTCAAGCAAACAGAATACTAAAAATACCACCTGTCTTCTCTTCCACTTCCCAAGGTACCATAATTATAACTTGACACAGGATGGAAAACTGTGACTTACCAGCTTCGATGCATTCTGGCTTCAGGCAGTACTCCTGTTTAGCTTGGAGACTTAAGAGACCTTGACTCACTGAAAAAACAGACCAAAATAAATGACTGACTTGTAGCAGACCACCATCCGGTAAACCACCCTCGGAAACATATGCAACACATTTGATATCAGTTCATCCTTCTCAGTGTTGACACGGTATTCCAAAACCCAGTTGGTTCAATGTCACAAAACCAGACTCTAGTTGCTAGCTACATAACCTTGGTAAGACTCTTGGTTGCTTTGAAACTCAGTTCTCTCATATGTAAGATAAGTAAGTATAACTAGACCAGAGCTCCTAAGAGTGTGGTCTCTAGAGCAGCAGCAGCTGTTGCTGCTGCACCTGGGAGCTTGTTAGAAAGTCACTCCAGATCTTGACTCAGAAAACCTGGGGGTGGGGCCCAGCCATCTGCAGTTTAACAAGCCCCCCAGGTGATTCCGATACATGCTCAAATATGAGCACCACTGGGCGAGATACTCTCTAAAGTCGTTTCAACCTCCAATTATCAGTGGTTTAAGTCTCATACTTTCACTCTATTGGTTATAACTCCATGCCCATGTTCAAGATGGGAAAATTGAAACTTAAACTATGTCATTTGGAGGCAATCAGAGTGGAAATAGAAAGCTAGCATGTATGGCTTTTAGAGTTCTGGATCTTATCTAAACCATCCATACAGATATGGACCAAAAAAGGAGTAGGGGTAAAGAATATACTGAACATATCTCAATCACCTATTAGTAGCAACCGTCATTTTCCGCCTGCCCTGAACCCCACAAACCCTCCGCCCACCAGGCCCAGCTTAGCTACCAGACATTTGCAACTCTGTGGAACAAGCTTCCAGCTATTTCCTCCTTTCCCCCCTTCCAAAAAAAAAAAAAAAAAGTCTGAAATTGAAATGGCTTTTCACCAATGGCTTAATGTCCCCATCTGGCTGGCAACATTATCTAAATAGGTTTCTGCAGAAGTACAGAAGGGTGCCCATTTGTCAACCCCAGGTAGCACCTGGGCATTAGCAGATGTGAGTTTAAGATTTCAAAAATATTTGTGGTAGCTGAGGAAATTCTGGGGAATTCATTCTTGCTGTGCTCTGTGAGCAGAAACAATGAATCATTTGGAGATGCGGCCATGGGGAGAGGGATGGTGGGAGGTGAATGGGGACCAAGGCCCTCTGTGGAAGGATCAGAAAGCTCGGCTGTGCCTATATTTCTGCTAGAGATGGAAGACCTATAGATTACTAGCCAGTGTGGCAAGTTTTTGTAAATGGAGCCTTCTTTTCCTTTGTTTTTTTCTCTGCTGCCATCTTCCAAGCAGCCTCTTTGCATTGTGTTACATTATAGATTCAAGAAAACTGCCTAGGAAACATCTCAGTCCTATTTTTTTTTGTTTTGGAGACGAGTCTCTCTCTGTCACCCAGGCTGGAGTGCAGTGGCGCGAGCTCAGCTCACTGCAAGCTCCGCCTCCCAGGTTCACACCATCCTCCTGCCTCAGCCACCTAAGTAGCTGGGACTACAGGCACCTGCCACCAGGCCCGGCTAATTTTTTGTATTTTTAGTAGAGACGGGGTTTCACCATGTTAGCCAGGATGGTCTCGATCTCCTGACTTCGTGATCCGCCCACCTCAGCCTCCCAAAGTGCTGGGATTACAGGCGTGAGCCACTGTGCCCAGTCCATCTCAGTCCTATTTTTAAGAAAATAAGTTTCTTAGCAAAAAGATATGTTTTGATTTCTGTATAAAGCAAAAAAAAAAAAGGTAAAAATATATATATGGGCAGCATAAAGATTAGTGTGCAATATTCCACTATGCCTGGGTGGTAGAACCTCAGGGGGAATTTTCCCCAACAGTCAATTTTTATATGTTCATCTAATTTTCTTTAGTGAGCATGTGTTCTTTTTTTATAATGCAAAAATAAGCTTTATTGTAAATAATAATAATATTTTTATAATTCTGGACAATATCTTCTTGATCTTAGCCTTATTTTAAAAAACAAAAGAGCTAATAAAATCATTAAAGATTTATTCCTTTCATGAGAAATAATTCTTGACCCAAAACCTTGAAGAAGTAAAATCGGGTGTCTTTATCTAATGATGAGTAGAAGGAAGGTTTTAAATATAACTAATTAGGCCGGGCACAGTGGCTCAGGCCTATAATCCCAGCACTTTGGGTGACCGAGGTGGGCGGATCACCTGAGGTCAGGAGTTTGAGACCAGCCTGGCCAACATGGTGAAACCCCATCTCTACTGAAAATAAAAAAATTAGCTGGGCGTGGTGGTGCGTGCCTGTAATCCCAGCTACTCAGGAGGCTGAGGCGGGAGAATTGCTTGAACTCAGGAGGTGGAGGTTGTAGTGTGCCAAGATCGCACCACTGCACTCCAGCCTGGGTGACTCCAGAGTGAGACTCAGTTTCAAAATATATATGTGTGTGTGTGTGTGTGTGTATGTGTGTGTGTATATAATTAATTGGGACACTGACAGACCCAACCCCTCAAGGAAGAGCATTATCTCCATGGATGGGGTTATTTTAATCCTCCAAATAAATGAGGATCAACAAGCCCAGATAATGTGAAGGTGTAAGTGAATGAAATAGAGACAATAAAGAAAATATTTTAATATAAAAATTAAGATGTTACTTTTGAATGGTTGGGAGCATTGAAAAATACCTGTAAATAGCAGTTTGGTTTCTCATTGTAGATTTCTCTGTAACCAGAGGAAATGTCCTCAGGATGCAGTGGAGTCATCCACAGATCAAGAGCATAAGAATGGCCAGAAAGCAGGGGTCAGCACACTATGGCCCGTAGGCCAAATCCACTGCCTGTTTCTGTACAGCCCATGAGCTATGAATTTTTAACATTTTTTTCATGGTTGGGAAAAATAAAAAGAAAAATAATATTTCATGACATATGAAAAGTATATAAAATTCCAATTTCAGTGTCTAGAAATCAGATTTCCTTGGCACACAGCCATGCCCATTTGTGTACATATTGTCCGTGGCTGCTTTTGTGCAACAACAACAGAATTGAGTAGTTGCAAGAGGCCGTATGGCCCACGGAGTCGAACATATTTACTATCTGGCCCTTGACAGAAAAAGTTTGCGGGCCAGTGCATCTGAGAAACAGATTGTGGGGAGGAAAGAGAGGGAAAGAGAAGAAGAAAGGACACTTGGAAATAAATAAAGTGGTTACAGGCATATATGTTTTCCATTCCGGTGCCCTGTAGCTTCTCTGAAGCCACCGCAAGGCCACTGGCAATCACTCTTACTATAGAAGCACTAAGGTTTCGAGGAAAGATTATCCCGGAGCCTCAGATACAAAGACGAGGTAAGAAGGGATGCTAGAAATTGCAGGCATGTAAGTGAATGTGGACAGGCAGAGAAATATACCGCAAAGTCAACCAGGAAGCCCCCTGAAGAGAAGACGACCCTAACTAGAATATTGTCATGAAGAGCATTGCCGGGCAGGTCCCTGGAGCTTGTCAGACAAGCGCTTTGCCTGGGTGCAGAGTGGAGGTGGGTGGCAGAGTTGAGGAGAGGGATGGGGAGAGGGGGTAAGGGGGTGATTCTAAAATAGTGCAGAAATATTTAACAAAAAGAAGTATCCCTGAATGTATACATCCAAATAGATGTGGTCACCTGAAGCAATGCTTCTCAAACCTGTATTTGCGAACAATCCCCTGGGGGTCTTGTGAAAATGCAGATTGTGGATCAGCGGGTCTGGGGTGGAGCTCAAGCTCTCCAGTGATGCTGATGCTGCTGGTCCACAGACCCCATTTTGAGAAGCAAAGTTGTAGAGGCCACAGCCTTAGTTTGCCCTTATTCTCTAACATCATTTGAGCTCCTCTTAGAAAGTCAAGGTGAGAGCCAGGTTATTGGGCACGCAGGAAAGTTCTCTTTCATATGTTATGCAGGCCTCCTTATCCGTAATACTAGTGTCTGGCCTGATGAATTTTACTTTGCTCTAAGAACATCGACACTGTTTCCTAAGAATAATTTTCTCTGAAAGAACAAAGATTTGCTGCCATGGAGAATCTTTCAACGGATATGCCACGGCCTCAGGATGTAATCATAAAAGTAGAGCTTTGTAAAAGTTTCATGCAGTGGTAATATCGTTAAAAAGAGTACGTATTTTTACATAAACAATAATTATTTGGATTTTTAAGTTTGAGAGCATTTGCAAAACCTAACCTTGCAGTCACGTTCCACATAGCATGTAGCCCATAGAATTTTCCCTCTCATTTTGAATTTCAGCAGAGGACACTTATCTGAACCCGAAGTACTGAGAAATCTCACAAGAGTTTTCAAGAGCCACAGATTCAGTTGCAGGAGTAGGAGATTTAGCTTTACCAGAAAGCAATAAACCCATCTAATTTCCTAAATCTTCAGCCACAGAAAACAGGGAAAGATGGTTTGCTCATTTTAGCAGAGTTTTCAACCACACAACCCTACCTCTTTTAATTACTGGTTTACCCCTGCCAAAATAAACATGGCCTCCTGCATCCTGTATATGCCAAGGAAGGTTTCCAGGTTTGCTACATTTCAAACTGCACCTAGAATCTCCTCATTCCTACATAACGTTCAAGCTAATGAAGTATTACGGGTTGTATGAGAAAAATTAAAATGGTAATAGTCAAGGGTTCAGCAAGCCTAGAATTTTAGAAAATCCTTTACTCCTTTCCAAGATATTTGATTCTTTTTCATAGGAATACACTTCTATCATCCTATATACTCTCTGGGTACATCATTCTCACCAAGAGTCATTAAAATAACTGAATCACAATATCTTTCAAATCCTGGGGGAAAAACCTCTGTTTTCCTTCGTATTAATTTGTAAAGCAAATTGCATCTCAGCAGAGTCACTGGATAAGAAAGGAATTGAAGAATATCATTAAAAGTACACTTTAAAGGACTGATTTGTGTTTTGTGAATTAAATTTCATGATTCGTTCAAGCAAACATTAATAAAAGTCAAATGGAAAGACACTCCAGCATGATTTTCATCACAATGTAAAGTCTTTCCTCAAAATATAAATGAAACTATGTGACTATGAATTCATAAACACTTATTTTGCTAAATGTACCACATAAAAATTTTTCCGCCCAATGCAACAGAATCAGCCAGCTACTCGAAGCCACTTACACCCACTTTGCCTTCTGGACTATACATTTGGTACTTGGGTGTATTTATTTATTTAGGCTCCTTAAAAAAGGCTTCTTTATCATTTGCATATTTGATAGAAACTAAAGATGCACCACCTACGAACGCAGGCAAACAGCCCTATACCTGTGTTATGACAAGTTTTGCTACAATAAAGCACAAGGAAACTTCTCGACACACACCCAGTTCCCCCGGCCTCCTGCACTCCACTTACCTAGAAACAAGATCGTGCCCAGAACTAGGGTGCCACCGACAAACACAACCAGGGCAATTCGAGTGCCTCTGTTGGCCTTCTTTCCAGTCTCCACACTGCTCCCTGTTTCTGCTTCCATCAGAAGGGCCGTAGAGAGCACACGAGAGGAAAGTCACTTTTCGTGGTTTGGTGGCTGGTCTCAAGAGCGAGGCGTTGACATCCAAGGCTCTCTTGCTCTTCTACTAATGGACAGCTTAAAAAACTCCCGTCAGGAAATCTCCCCTCGCCACCCTTTCTCAAATAATTCTTCACAAATGAAAATTATAAAAACCAAAATATTGGTTGCCTTGGCTTTCCCCCTGACTAGACAAAACAAACAACGTTGCTTTATCTTGGTGCTCTCCCTCAGCAAACTCTCTCTCAACCGATTGTTTGGCAGGCTTTTCTCTCAAGCGTTCCGAGTATACATGTTTTACTATGTTGCTGAACAGATGTTTTAGCTATTTAAATGTATAGTCACTTGGGGAGGAAAAAACAATTGTTTTATCAAAACTGGATTCTCGTGAAACTCCCCCAAATCATGATAAGTTAGGTGGCCAGGATTCACCGGACCCACTTCAGGTTCTCAATTAATCATGTAATTCTGTTGCAAGAATCATTCTGCTTGCCTGAATTGTCTTCATCAAAGATATTCTTTCAGTGTGTGAGTCCCTTTTTAAAGCCTTCTAAGAGTTCCTAGGATATCCTGGAGCATTTTATTTTAGGAACTTTGTGTATGATAGCATGTGCCAAAAATCAGTCATAGTCCAGTGCAGTGCAAAGTAGCAATTAAGACAACCTACAGAGGCTGATGGTTTGAACTGGAACTTTTTCTTAAAGGAAGGAGAAAAAGCACTTCCTCTTTGTGGTACTAAGAATTGTACAAAAAAAAAAAAAAAAAAAAAACACCCACAAAAAAACACAAGTGCGTGAATTAAGTTTATTAGCAACTACAAAAGATATGATGAAAATTTTTTTCCTTGCATGTTTTTGATGAAAAGTGCACCATGTGTTTTTTCTGCCACTCCTACTGAGGCAGCCATTCATTAGGATGTTTTTGTGTTTACATAAAGTGTCCACTTCAGCAGATTCCCCAGGATGAATTCAAAGGCAATTGGTTTCAGGCCGGGCGTGGTGGCCCACGGCTGTAATCTCAGCACTTTGGGAGGCTAAGGCAGGGGGATTGCTTGAGGCCAGGAGTTCGAGACCAGCCTGGCCAACAAGGCCAAACCTTGTTTGTACTAAAAACACAAAAATTAGCCGGGCATGTTGGTGAGCACCTGTAGTCCCAGCTACTCAGGAGGCAGAGGTGGGAGAATCGCTTGAGCCTGGATGGTGGAGGTTGCAGTGAGCCAGATCTCATCACTGCACTCCAGCCTGGGTGACAGAGACCCTGTCTCAAAAATAAACAAACAAAAAACAAAGGCAGTTGACTTCACTGGAAAGACTGATGAATGACTGGGTCTTTGATTTTTTTATTATGATAATGATTTAAACAATAACAATGTGCTTTCTTCATGGGGAAGGGCAACTGATATTCCAATGCTACCATTGAAATGATATAGATTTTATCATCCAAAGATATAGATATCATTAATTCACAACACAATTACTACCTACCTGCTTTTGTTTTGCTGGAGGTCATAGGGCAGTGGGAGTGGGGGTAGAGAATTCAACTATACCTAGAAACCGGTAGAGCAATTATCTCAATGCAAAACTTGTGCACATGGCTTTAGAGGTGACACAGGAGCTCAGCAGGTGCTGATGAGCTCAGTATAACATGGCCACACATTCATGATCCTGTCTGGCTTGTCTTGGTCAGGGCTTAAGCCCTTAGCATGGAATTCTCTCAAGTTTTGGGGCTTATTCCATAACATACCTTACTTTCTGCTCATTTCATGTTGCACCAAAGTCAGGGGATCATGTCTTTGTCCAAGTTATGACATCATGGTGTGTTGTAGTTATCCTGTGCTCATTGGTTGTTGATGTTACTTTGTTGCTGTTATTCCATAACACATCTTAGCAGGCCTTTGGCCCCTAGTATGAGATTCTCCCAAGAGTTTTTGGACTTGACTCTAGAATACATCTTAGACCATGAACTCCACAAGGTCAGGAACCATGTTCAATGTTGCAGCTCCAGCATCGACATTTCCTGACCCTTCACAGTGAAAGGGAGAAATAAGCAATACAAATCATCCAAGTTAGCCCTAGCCACTAACTCTTAAAAACCAGCTTCAGCCGGGCACGGTGGCTCACGCCTGTAATCCCAGTACTTTGGGAGGCCAAGACGGGTGGATCACATGGTCAGGAGTTCGAGACCAGCCTGGCCAACATGGTGAAACCCCGTCTCTACTAAAAATACAAAAAATAGCTGGGTGTGGTGGCAGGCGCCTGTAATCCCAGCTACTGAGGAGGCTGAGGCAGGAGAATTGCTTGAACCCAGGAGGCGGGTTGCAGTGAGCTGAGATCATGCCACTGAACTCCCGTCTGGGTAGCAGAGCAAGACTCTGTCTCGAAAACAACAACAACAACAACAACAACAACAACAACAAAACAAAACAAAAAACCAGCTTCAGGGCCAGAAGTGGTGGCTCACACCTGTAATCCCAACACTTTGGGAGGCTAAGGTGGGCAGATCACTCTAAGTCAGGAGTTCGAGATCAGCCTGGCCAATGTGGTGAAACCCCATCTCTACTAAAAATACAAAAAAATGGCCAGGTGTGGTGGTGCGTGACTGTAATCCCAGCTACTCAGGAGGCTGAGGCACAAAAATCGCTTGGACCCGGGAAGTGGAGGTTGCAGTGATCTGAGACGGCGCCACTGCACTCCAGCCTGGGTGACAGAATGAAACTGTGTCTCAAAAAAACCAAAAGGCCAAGGTGGGTGGATCACCTGAGGTCAGGAGTTCGAGATCAGCCTGGCCAACATGGTGAAACCCCGACTCTACTAAAAGTTTAAAAATTAGCCGGGCGAGGTCGCAGATGCCTGTAATCCCAGCTACTTGGGAGGCTGAGGCAGGAGAATAGCTGGAACCCAGGAGGCAGAGGTTGCAGTGAGCTGAGATCGCACTACTGCACTCCAGCCTGGGCAACGGAGCAAGACTCCGTCTCAAAACAACAACAACAAACAACAAACAACCAGCTTCAGCTTCAGGAACCTCACATGCTAAGCCCTAATTATTCCCTCTAAATGCTCAGCTGACAATGATACTTCATATAGGCATAGAACATTTGCTTTAACCTCATGGTAAATCTACATACTTGATAGCAAAGGTATTTTAACTCTGTTTTACAAATAAGGACACTGAAACCAAGGAATGGCCTCAGGTGGCATGGGAAAATCACAAATGGATAGATGGGAGATGGGATCTTTGCCATACATGGCATGTCTGCAGCTTGACAAAGCTTCCTGTGCACAGCGAGAGGACAGTCACCCAAGCACGACACCAGGACTCACTTCTTTCCTCTTTCCTTCCTCCTCCCAATCTCTTCACAACTTTCAGCGTCCCCACTCACATTGAATAGTGGCCGTGAGTTCCTAGCTGAAGTAGCCTTCACCTGCCTTGAACTTGCAATTCCCCCAGAGGTGAGGGGAATTTGGGGATTCCCCTGAAGTTAGACCTACCCATCACTTACCAACAGGAATTCATTCCTGAACGGTCAACTGCTGAGTGAAATGCCATTAAACCAAAAAATTACTTTCATTAATTGTAATAGGAAAATTATGATGCGTTCTATCCCAAACTAAGATACGCAAACACAGACAGAAAAATGTATTCATTGAACTTAATTGTACATTTTAAAATAACTGAAAGACTGCCATTGGATTGTTCGTAACACAAAGGATAAATGCTTGAGGGGATGGATACCACATTCACCATGATGTGATTGTTTCATATTGCATGCCTGTATTGAAACATCTCATGTACCCACAAATATATACACTTGATACGTACCCATAAACATTAAAAATTAAAATAAGTAATTTTAAAATGTATTACTTGAACAATGAAAACAAGTCTATAAAAGTAATATAGAACTGTTGAAATATTGAAAATAAACATAGTTTGTGTAATGTAATGTAATGAAGTTTTCTTTTATTCACGAAAGGAATAAAGGAAAACTTGAGAGTGGCGGGATTGCCAGAGGAAAGGATGTGGGAGAATCACTCATTATAAGGTACATTGTTCATTCTGTGCCATTTTCTGCATTAATTTTTCAACCTTTTAGGAGATGATGATAATCTTGCCCTCAAAATAAACCACACTTAAAGTAGCACAGAAAAAAAGAAAAGAAAAGAAAAAAAAACCCTTTAGGGCAAAATAAAGAAGTTCAAAGCACAGGGAAATAATAGGTGCTCACAGGACTAAAGCGGGGGTCTGCAAACAAGAGTACATGGACCAAATTTGGCCCACTGCCTGTTTTTGTAAATAAAGCATTTTATTTTTCAACTTTTTTTTTTTTTTTTTTGAGACAGGGCCTCACTTTGTTGCCCAGGCTGGAGTCCACTGGCGCAATCTTGGCCCACTGCAACCTCCACCTCCCGGGTTCAAGCGATTCTCCTTCCTCATCCTCTCGAATAGCTGGGACTACAGGCGGTGCGCCACCACGCCCATCTAATCCTTGTATTTTTAGTAAAGATGGGGTTTTGCCATGTTCCCCAAGCTGGTCTCGAACTCCTGGGTTCAGGTGACCCACCCGCCTTGGCCTCCCAAGTGCTGGGATTACAGGCGTGAAACATCATGCCCGACCTGTAAACAAAGTTTTTATTGGAACAAGGTCACACCTATTTGTAGATTGTGCATAATTGCTTTCATGCTGCAAGAGCAAAGTTAAGTAGTTTTGCAACAGAGACATTTTGGCCTTCAAAGCTTAGAATATTCACTCTCTGGCTCTTGACAGGAAAAGTTTACCAACCTCTGCACTAAAGAGTAGTAAAAGATGCTACCTCTAGCCGGGAGCGGTGGCTCATGCCTGTAATCCCAGCACTTTGGGGGGCCACGGTGGGCGGATCATGAGGTCAGGAGATCATGACCATGGTGAAACCCCATCTCGAGTAAAAATACAAACAGCCGGGTGTGGTGGTGCGTGCCTGTAGTCCCAGCTACTTGGGAGGCTGAGGCAGGAGAATCGCTTGAACTTGGGAGACGGAAGTTGCAGTGAGCCGAGATCACGCCACTGCACCCCAGCCTGGTGACAGAGTAAGACTCTGTCTCAAAAACAAAAAAAAAAAAAAAAAAAAAAAAAAAGCTACATCTTCACGCCATCTACATGGCACACAAAAGAAAATGTTTATCCACACTTGACCTGTAACTCAAAATTGTTCCATTCGAGAGTCTTTGAATAGAAACTGCTGTGTCAGGGAAACTGGTGAATGTGTCTTTGCCTGAAACTGTAATATTGAAACTATGATTTCAATATTATGATTTAGCATACAATTTAGTGTGTTTGGGAGTGAGAAGTCATTATTCTGGGAAATAAAAGGGGAGGGACGTTATTCTAAAACTTTTTACAACAATTCTAGAGCTGTGAAAATTAGTTAATTGAAAAGTCATTATGCAAGGTAAGTCTGTTAGTAGTCTGCTGTACACCCACCTATTTCAATTAAGAACATTCAGGACTATCTTGGACATTCAGTGGATCAATCGATGAATCAACAGAAGTTTTTTGAGCATTTCTCAGGTGCCTAGCCCTGTGCAAATCCTTGTGAAGCAAGACCAAGAACTCATGCCGGAGGTTCTGGACTGGTCAACAGGGATGAAAATACTGTATAGGAAACCCAACTTGGCCACATAACCCTAAAGCAGGCAGGCCTGACCATAAGGGCAGTCAGTGCCCAGAGAAGCAGAAATCCCTGAGCGGTAGATTCGTTGGGAAGACTTCCAGAATGTTCGCGAGAACGGGCAGCTTGCAGGACAAGAGGAAGGCTTCCAGATGCGCCGAGCCCCACCCCAAGAGGGGACTTGCCTGGGCATTTACCACTCTCCCTGCAGGACTCACAGGTACAATGATTTATCCCGAGGTAACGGAATCCAGTAACAACGGCCCAAGCTGCTAATGGGCCGGGATGACAGCTGAAGCCGTCTTTATGCTAGACATGAGTGCATCTGGCCATTATTTGGATGTGCAGGGTCCTCTGTTTCAAGCAGTAAAATCCCATGTGGGCCATAATTTTAGTGAGAAAGAAGGAAA